GGGAGCCGCGGATGGCGACGGATGTCGGGCGGCTCTAGCTCCGAGCACCACCTACCATGTTGGTTCCGGAGGGCGAAGGGAGCAGAGGCTGCTGGGAAAAGATCTATAAAGAGGCGGCAGCTGCGTTACTTCCGTCTGACCTGGAAGCGCGGGGCGAGGCGCTGAGCGCCACAGCGGCCTCCGGCGGGCGGGAAGATAAGTGCAGCGTCCTGCGATCTGAGCTTTGGTTTCCGGTCACCGAGTCCCAGGAGCCATCCCCATTCTCCAGTTGGTGCGGAGAGGAAGGGGCGGAGATTGGTGACAGTGGAGGTAGGGATGAGTGGGGTGAGGCAACCAATCCTGAGGGAGTCGAGAAAGGGGCGCGAGGAGGTAGGGGTCGTGCGCAGGTAAATCTGCACACAGGTGCCGACCCGCATGTGCAGGTTTTAGAGTTAGTTTGCACACAGGTGCGCACGCCGTCTGTCTCCAGGGCCCAGGAACTGGGGGGGGAGGGGCTTTACTCCAGCATTCTTTCCTTTGAAACGCTGGCGCCCAGCACAGTACATGGATGGTAGTAGGTGCTTAATAAATGCTTCTTGATTGATCGGGGGCGGGGCTGGCGGCTAGCCATCTCAGATCTTGGTGCAATCGTTACTAGGGCGACGAGACATGACGAGCCATTCTCCCAGAGACCCTCCCTTCCCCCCTCCCCAGGTGGGGCACCCCAACGACCGGGGGGCTGGGGATGTAACTGGATGGGGGTACAAGCGGTGGTTACCGACCCCGCCCCCTATCCCCAGGTGGCAGTACCTTGGGGGAAAAGCCCCTATACTGAAGTTAACCAGGGAGTGCATTTGCCAGGAGCAGAAGCCTGTAGGGTCTGTCATTTTTAGGTCGTCCTGAGGCCATGGCTGGAGCATCTTGAAACCCTGTTATTTGTATCCTCCCTGCTTTTAGTCCTCATTTCTATCCCCGGGATTATGGAAAGGAAGCAGGTATTTTCAGTTTTTCAGCACTTGCCTCTTCAGTCCCAAAACCACTTGTTTTGAGTACGGGAGCCCTCCATCCCAGCAGCCTCGATAACTGAGATTCTCTTGGCGTTCTGGATAGGGCAAAACTGATGAGCCGCCTCCTCCTTATGTCTTTGCCTGTCCTCAGCACCAGACCCCATTTGACTCACGTACCCATGCTTACATGAAGGCTGGTGTAAGATAGTCAAAAGGCAGGACTCCCAGCTACTACTTCTGAATCAACTAATTAGATTTAGAAGGGTTTTTCTCCTTGCTTATGTCTCCGTTAAGTGACACAGCTTTCTGTTCTACATTATACTGTGGTCCAATCTGAGAGAGCCAAGTGAACACTTTCCCTTCTATATGCCTTCTCTCTGCTATTAGTATCTCAGACTTTCTAGCTCTCAGCTGGCCATTCTGGAGCTCAGGACCCCTTGGAAGTTTGGCTTTGTTTCAGAAGCATTTCCTGAGCCTAGACTCAATTCTTCAGTCCTCAGACAATGCCACATCCCTACTTCGCTGCCAGATATGAATTATGCCTGAAATAATCCACCATGCTTACCTAGAATTGTCTGGACAGCAACCATGTAGGGCCAAGGAAAAGAGGAGAAACTTCGATCTGTGGCCCTAGGGCAGTAGGGAATAAGTATAAAAGACCTACTCAACGTCAACAAAGAATGTCACCCAGGACTTGCTCCTCCTAGACCCACATAAAGAACTGAGGACCATTGTTAATTCCTAGGCCACAACTTGATCTGGCACTACCCTGAGTAAAAGGATAGGAGAGATGAGAGCTGACAGCTCTTTCCTCCTGACACTGGAGGATAATAATACCTTATCATCACTATCAGGGACTATTAAGGGGAGTTCAGTGTCTATCCCCACTCCTCATCCCACCATCCCTTATCTTTTCTTTTTACTATAGATCTATCCTCCTCAAAGCCCAGGGCAAACCAATGCCTCCATGGGCTTGAGATGAGCTCTGAAAGGGGTATGGCACAAGTCATCTTTTCCTAGGGCCAATTCTAACAAGCTCCAGTGTGACAGATGTACCCTTTTTATCCCTTCCCCTCTATCTTTCCCAGAAGACTGCTCCTAGAGAAAACTGCCTGCAATAATTACCAGAACTTCCTTTCTTCACATGCTTTCCAATCCCTTGTATTCTGGCCTCTAACTCCAATATTTAAGACTGCTTCACCAGGGATCTCTATTTTCAATGGATGGCCTTTGCTCAGTTTTCATCACGGCTGACAACTTCTCTGATGTTACTGTACACCTCTCTTCTGTTTTCCTTCTAATCACACATTCTGGATCATCTATGTGCTACTTCCCAAGTACAGGTGAAAACCAAGCCTCTACCTTGGTCTCTCTTCTGTCTATACACTCCGGATGAAATGAGCTCTAGTAACTCACAGAGCTCACTGTCTAGCCTCTCGTCACCAACAACCTAATAGACATTTCAAACAGATATCCAACAGGCATTTTCAACCTCATGTCTAAAAAATTTCCCATACCCTTCTAAATTTCCCTATTTGAAATAAGGAAACCTATCCTTCTAGGCAACCAGGCTAACAACCTCAATGTCTTATCTTCCTATCTCCATCACCTCACCACCTTAATGTCATACACTCCTATCTCTATCACCTCCTACCAACCATCCTCTATCTCCACTCACACAACCAGCACCACAATTCAGGTTCTTAGCATAACCTCTAGCCAGAACTATTGCTATAGCCTCCTAATGTTTCCCTCCAAGTTTCTCCCCTTTGTCACGTCCTCCACACATCTGCCAAAATGATTGTCCTAAGGTACAGGTCTGACCATAGCACTCCCCTATGAACTCCAATGGTTCCCTTTTACTTGCTTCTAGGATCAAACTATTTGCTATTCAGTTTTCACAACTCTACCTTTCCAGACTTATATTACATGTTACTCCCTTCCATGTACTGTCCAGCCAAATTTGCTTTCTTCCTGTTCTTAACAGGATGTCCCTTCTCCATCTTTGAAAGGGCTGACCCCTGTTCCTCTCTGTAGTGCCTAGCTTCCTGCAACACTCAGCTCAAGGGCTATAGCAAAACTTTTTGCTATCTCTCACTCCCAGATATTAGTGCTTCATCCCTTCCCAAAATTACCTGAATTTGGTATATACCCTCATAGGGTATATTTGTCTCCCCCCGTTAGAATGTATTAGAATATAAGTTCCATGAGTGCAGAGGCTGTTTCCCTTTGGTCTATGCACCTCTAATACCTAGCAGAGCATTCAACATAGGCTCTGAGATGTCCAGTGACTTATCCAAGATCCCAGTGAACAAGTCAATAAAAATATTTATTGAACACCTACCATATACATAGACATAGGAGTGAGATTTTTGGTAATATTTTGTCTCTGCCCTCATGAGTTACACATATCAGTAAGGGTGTGACATACAAAGGTATCTATAAAACATTTGTCAGAGAAGGGCAAAATGTTACATAATATCTAAGGTCCTCCCAAAAGAGGTGGCATTTGAGTTGGATTTTAAAAGATGGGGAGAAATTCTGAAGATGGTTGTGGAAGAACAGGAGGAAAAAGGGACAGTCCATGCAGAGGGTACAGTGGGAGAACAGACAATTTCCTTTCCCCTGTTTATTTCTTCCTTAGATGTCAGTATTTCTTTTATATCTTTTAAACACACAACTAATGCAAAATAGGCGTCTTAATCTTCCATTTTAGATTCCATGTGTGATAAGACCTTCAAGCCTCCTCCTCCCCCACCCCACACACATACATTTAGCATATTGATCTGTATCTAGTAGCAATACTCGAAATGGACCAGTTGGAAGTGATGATGTAAAAGTCTAAGCCATACATAATTTCTTTGCCTGTGGCTATTTTTTTACCTGCATACATACCTCCAAAATGTTTGTTTAGTTCCACTGACAAAACTCTTTTTGATGTTCAAGGTAATCAGATGGCTCAATGATTTTATCTCGGGCTAACTTCCATAAGACAGTCCTCCTAACCTCCTTTTGGGATTACCAAAGGGCCTTTGAACTAAAAGATCCTAAAGCCCCACCCATTTTCCTTTAGCCACCAGACTAACACATTTAGTGTTGGAGTTAGGAATAAAAGTACTGGGCTAGAGTGTCTTACTTACCTTTATGCAAAACAGCCTACAAATGTCTGGGGAAGAGGAAGAATTATAGTAGCTGTCTCTACCCCAAGAAAGGCATCTCACCTTCCTCTCCCCACAATGCAGAGTTGGAAAGGTCAGGTCACAGAGCTGGATCTTCCTAGGAAACACTTCAAGAGTCCTGGAGTTCTCCTCCACATTTCATGCAGATGCTCCCAATAAGAGATTGTGAGTGAGCTACTTCAGGTGTTGAACCACAGACAAGACTGAACTTTAGCCCAAGGTCTAGACCGGAGTGGGGAAACCTGTGGTCTCGAGGCCATGTGTAGCCCTCCAAGTTCTCAAGTACAGCCCTTTGACTGAATCCAAAACTTCACAGAACAAATAATAAAAGGATTTGTTCTGTAAAACTTGGACTCAGTCAAAAGGCCAAACCCAACAATCTAGAAGGCCCAGTGTGGCCTCAAGACAGCAGATTCCCCACCCTTGGTCAAGGGGCAAATTGGGCAGTAGAAGAGAAGGATACTAGGAAAGGATAAAAACTTGCAAAGGTAAGAACAGGGTTTAATAAGTAGATGGCAGGGCTTTTGGAATTTGGTGTGAATTAAAAGGTACCCAACCATTTGATGGTCTTCCCTCACCAGGGTCAGGCAAGAATGCCAAAGGAACCTAGAGATATGGAATTAGGACAGAGACAACTTGGCCTACCTGCTTCATTATTAGAGTTTTCTTCCCATTCTCTACATACCTAACCCAACCTCCTTCCCCCACCATGACTCTGGTGGGACACAACCATTGTAGCCAAACTTATGTGGTCATATCATTTCTGAATCTTACAGGGTCATTCTCCAGTCCTTTAATGGGATCACCCCAACTCTACTACAGACAAACTCATAACTTGACTCCAACACGACAATAAAGAGTATTTCAACATTACCACTTAGAGAAAGGTCCACGGTGACTAGGGAACGGCAGCCGAATTTAAGGCCTGGAGCTTTCATAAAAATCTTAAACCACCAGAGCTATTTCTTCGGACTTGAGGACATCCAGATTCAATGACGTGATTCCAGGACACTTATTTTCCATTTCTACTATAGGTTTTAAGGATGGATGCTCAGATATTAACTTCATGGGATTATCCCAAGTGGAAGATTTGTAGGAATAAAGGGATTAGAGCCTCTACCTTTCAAATATTTTTCAATATGGAACTTCAAGGTAAAACTTGGGCCTCCTGGATACCTCTAAAACACTTTCCTGAAATAAGTATCCCTGTGATGGACATGTAATGGCAGTGTTTGGGTCCTGGAATGAAGAGAAAATGGGGAAGTGGGAAAGGAATGGATACAGTCTGCAAGTGGGAAAAGACCACACTAGGAGCAGTATCTATGTCTAGACTTGGAGTGGAGCTCATTAGCACCACACCACTCAGGAAAACCAGTCCTACTCCCAAAAGTTACTCGAATGTTTTCACGTTACTGATGAGAGAAGGCCATCCTTCAGCAGAAGGAGTCCGAAGAGCCTTAAACACGTCAATTTTCAAAGCCTGCAAAGTTCAAGCCTTGGGAGTTGCATGGGTGGGGTGTATGCCATGTAAATCTACCTAGTGGGACCAGGCCTTAGAACAAAGTGCCAGGGCCCAATGACAAGAAATCCCAACTTGATTTTCTCACCACTTAGGGACCAACCCACCAAGATGCTCCCCCCCACTATCATCAATATTAACGACAGAGACAAGCCCAGCACTGCTGCAACGTGTTTATTATGTGCCAAAAAAACTACACCACAGCTTACTCCACACATCTGCAGGAGAGTGCAGTCTTGCCTGCATACACTACAATGAGGTAGGGACTTCACACACAGATTCACAAAAACCCACACAGAGCAGCTGGGATACGCAACAACGCAACATCGGCTCAGCGGGAGGGGGAGGAAGAGGAGGGAGGGTTATGACACTGGTTCTTTGGCACACAGCTTCCCGTAGAGGGGCAAGTTCTATTTTCTTCTTTTAAAAAAGAAAAAAAATGTCAAGTTTTCAAATCCCAGCAGCATCAGCCAACTGCCATGTTGCTTCATACATTTTTTTTAAACAGAAAAAAAAAAGAAAAAAGGGAAAGGTACTTGTCCCCTCTAAGTGAAAGGGCTCCTGTGAACCTTCATCTGCCCCCGTCAAAAAGCAGCCCTTTTTAGCTCAGTTACAAAAAAGAAAAAATTAAGTCCTGTGACTTTGTGATTAAAAACCTCTATCAACCCCCCACTTAAGTGCAACTTAACAAAGTGCAAGAAACGGTTTAAAACTATGTACAGCAGCTCCACCATCGTTTATCCGGTCCAGTTTTAAATTTGAAAATTTCGTATTTTTCCTGGTTGCAAACGCCTCTCTCCACAACTGTGAGAAACCCTAAGCCGCAGTCCCCAGACACAAATTTGCATTAATGTTAAAAGCTGCCAGGAAAGAAAAAAATCTCGTTTCAAACTACTTAAAAACTGTTTTAAGGAGTGTAAAAAGGAACCGGTAAAAACCCTCGAGCGTAAAATATGAAATATGATTTTGGTTTAAATGAAGAGCAAAGTCTCCTTGTTGTTACAGTAAAAAACACCAGCTGAACACTCAGTTTATGCCGTTCAGGTGGGGGTTAAATAAATGGAAAGGCACTGTATGGCAACTGCAAACATGGAGCCACTGAGACCTGCATCATTACCATCAGTATTGCGAGGAATGTAAAAAAGCGCTTTTAATAAATAAAAAACCTAGACGAAGGTATCTGCATAAACACCTTCTCAACACGTGGTCCTTTTTTTGCTTGTCATCAGCAAACTGAGGAACTAAAGTCTGGGAAAACTGCAGAGTCACTTGGAGGGTGACTGGGGGGCCCTTCCCCTTATAACACCCCCTGAAAACAAAACCCGACAAAACTCACTGTGCATTAGTGCAGAAACAAAGACAGATCAGCAAGTGCAAAGGTGAATGTAAGATTTTCCCCATGTCCTTTGGAAGTGTGCTCCCAGCCTGGGCCAGAGGCTGGGAGCAACACTCCAGCTCTCACCACTCAGGTTAAACCAGCTTCACCAGGGGCAGATGGACACCCACCACCCCTCTAGCTGGACTCTCGACTCTTCTGGTTACGCATCAGAGGGCGATGATGACGAAGGCCCTCTGTGCTATGTCGCCAGTGCCAGCAGCTTCGGCAAAAGTACTTGAAGCAGACCTGTGGGGCAAGGTGATGAAAATAAGAGGAACACCAGTTCAAGTATGATCAATCAGCCAAGAGCAACCGATTTCTGAGATAAAAATCAGTTTTTAACAATTCTAAATGGGGAAAGGGGAGAAAACAGTAGAAATAAGTCATGAACAATGGCAGGCTTAACGGATCAACTATAGTTGGTTATAGTCAAAATCTTGTCCCAAACAATCACCTCTGGGGATCCATATGCTCTGTAGAAAGAACATCCTAAACTCTCTGCCCAAGGCATCTTTATAGCCTGACAATGTAGAAAATTCTTCAGCGTTTCCAACAATCTCTATTCAAATATATGTGGGAAGCACCAATAATTAGCCCCCCTTCCTCAGCTCTCAAATAGCCTGTCCAATCGTCCTCATCAGCTCATCCACTACAAACAAGCCTTTGTGTCTTAGGCACTGCTCCACCCAGCTGCCCACAGAACCTTGCGCAAGTCAGGGCCTTTCTTCCCCACTATGAGCTAGGTCTCTTCTTTATCTCTTCACAGCCCCTAGGGCGTGGTGCGCTGCATGTCAATGGAGGATGTATTATAGCCACATTTCCATAAAGCTAAGGCTTTGAACTTGAGAGTCTACCATAAAGCCAGGGCAGGAGTAGAAGCTGTCTGGCTAGTAAGCCTCCTCCTGGAACAAGAGCATGTGACAGTTGTGACACCTATAACCTATCTCAATGCGTAACAACAGAGATGCTTCAGCTTGCTTTTTTCAACTCGCTTAATATGTTTTAAGCACTTCATCTTCAGGTCTAAAAAAGGGAACATCCTTCTTCAGTCTGTTAATTAGTTGCCATTTTATTTAGAAGTCTATCTTAGCACTGTTTGGATATTCCTTCCCTGCTGAATGGAGCTGGATCGGCACCAAAGGGTTTCTAGAGCGTGGCAAAGAACTAAAGGGTGAATGACAGGCTCTGCCAGCCAGGCTCCTTCCTGCAAGGATTCCACAGGACCAAAGTTAGAGGAGTTCCCCAAAAGGAAACAGAAGAAAGAAGAGGGAAGAAGCCAAAAGCTACTTCAGGAGTATTCAAGTCTCAAGTCTTCTCCTCCTTCCAAATAAACCATTTGCCTCAAATATCATTTAATTTATAATAACAGTACTACCTGACCAAAGACTTGGGAATTTGACATCTTTTCTTTCACTCTGCTCTCAGATGAAGAGGTTTCCCTTCTTGTCAGGATCAATTTCTCCGCAATTACCACCCACTTTACTTCAGCCTAGCCCTGCCCCCAGGGTGTTACCCAGCAGCAATTTTCTGGCTCATTCGGGATCCTTCCCTTGGTCTACCACCTCACTAAGTCTCCCCCATCCTTTAACTCTCCATTGTGATCTTACTATTTGCCCTCATGCTACTCTTTTGCATCTCTCCTCCATTTCTCAGCTATACTCCCAGAAAAAGCTGACTATACTTAGGGCCTACTCTCCTCTCTGTAATGTAACACCCCAACTCACTCAACTCAAACAACTCTCTCCAAAGTTAAATGATTTTTCAATCATCAAATCTAATGGCCTTTTCTCAGTGCTCATCCTCCCCAACTTCTGCATTGTTCAACACCATTGACCACCTCCTCCTCCTGGATCTACTCTACTCTTTAGGTTTTCGTGACACTACTATGTACAAATGCTTAGTCTTAAGTCTTTTGTGCTGGGCGTTCATCAAGGACATACCCACTACCGTGGGCATCCCACCAGGACCTTCTCCTGGCTCTTCTTCTTTCTTGACTTCCTCACTTGATCTCATCATTTCTAAGGGTTCAATTTTCTCTATACAAATGACTCCCAGATCTTTATACTCAGCTTTACCACTCTCCTCCTGACCTCCAATCCTGAAGTCATTGATTTCCTATTGGACATTTCAAAAATGAATTCCTGCAGGTGTCTCAAATTGAACATGTCTAAAACTAAACTCATCGTCTTTTCTCCCAAAGCCTTCCCTGCTCCTTTGAACTCCCATTACTGTTGAGAAACTTTGAAGTCATCCACATTTATAACCTTGATAACATGACCTTGACTGCTCACTCCCACTCTACCTATTCAAATGGCCAAACTTTGTCATTTCTACTTCATAGCATCTCCACTCACACAGACAAAACCCAGTTCAAACCCTTACCTCTTCCTCAGATTTTTGCACTTAGACTCCTCATTGGTCCCCCATCCTCAAGTCTCTTTTCACTCCAACCTGTCCATGTAACTGCCAAAGTGACTTTCCTAAAGTATTAAGCCTGACCATCTTAACTTCTACTCTAAGTCCAGTGGTTTCCTCTTACCCTTTAGGATCAATGATGCCCTTTGTTTGGCATTTAAAGCTCTTTAGTCTGGTCTCTTCCTATCTTCCACTCTTCTATATTACTGCCCTCCATAGTCCAGTCCAGCCAGAGTGGCCCACTTTTTCTTGCACACAAGACTCCCCTCTCTCCAAACTCTGTGCTTTGCAGTGGGGCTACTCTATGCCTGAAAAGCTCTTAGTTACCATACCCTCTGCCTCTTGGATGTTCTGGCTTCCTTCAATATTTATGCCAAAAATCACATTCTGCAGGAGGCCTTCCCAGGTCCCTCCAGTTGCTAGTGTCTTCCCTATAAGTTTACCTTCCATCTACTCTATATGTAGCTTGTATGTATCCCAATTATTTACACATTGTCTCCATTAAAATAGATAACTCCAGTGACTCCATATTTTCTCTATGTTCAATTGTATTTTTATTTAATTTGTTAAATATTTCCCAATTCTATTTTAACCTTTTTCTGCCACACTAGGAGTCCTGTGGGCAATCTGAGTGTTTGACATCTCTGCTCTTGGGGATGTAGGCCAGGTCAGACAACTGGGTGGGACAAGAAGACTCACCTGATCTCGACAGAAGAAAGGACCTGGCTGAGCACTGCAAATGTGACACAGAGAGTCTTCTAGGTAGGGATCAATCTGAACCTGTACAAAAGTAAGTTAGAGATGAGCTGTGTCCTGAGCATCCATGGTCAAAAATAGGAGGGAGGGTAGATTATTCTGCATCGAAGGATGAAAAGGATATATGTCCTTCAGGAAGAATTCTGACAGGGCTGCTTGAGGAATGAGGCAAATGATCACAGCAACAAATGGTTTCCTACTGTCCCAAAAGAAAGCTAAGTGGACTATCTTCAGGGAGTACGTGGATAAAGCTTCACACTCCTCAAGCACTATGTTTTAGAGCTTCTCACATACTGCCAAATGGCAATAGCTTTGGACAAGATTCATAATTCATAAATTCTATTTGGTAACCAAAGAGAAATAGAAGATCAAAATTTGGATGTTACGGTGAGATCACCAAGCCTATTCTATTCACTTTTATACTGTGTTGGATTTTACTTAAGTTAATTTGCTCTAGGCTCTAGGTCAAGTCATGGTGTCTGTATTCAATGGAAGCTACATGTCTCCAGAAATCTTGTCTTTGTCTTTATCTCCTATAACTACATAACCCATTGGGGTACCTCACACCCATGGCACTACCTCTAACTACAGCTCTGAGGCAGACCGATTCAGGGCTCTTCCAGCTCAATTAGCTGAACCTGCTATACTATGAGGTATACTATACTATGGGGTAATTCATTACTGGATATTTTCAAGATGCCACAAGAGGGACATTGAGCCAACTCCAACAAGCACTACCCATTCAACTCACCTTCTTGGTGAACTTGGTAGTTTTGATCTCCACAAAAGCAGCACTGACAGCCTTCAGATAACTGCGCTGATTGTTAAAAGTCACTCGGCCTGACCCTGAGAATCACACGAACATGGTTCACACCACAGGTGAATAATATACTCTACATGAATGCAAATGCTAGCCCAGGACAAGAAGGAAGATAATATGCTAGGATGGGGAAAAGAAAGAGGAATTTCCTTAAATCCAGTTCTTGAGACAGATACACAATGCCCAATGTTTTTCACCTCTTACTTAAGTCTTTGAAGTCTCAGATTCCCAGTTAGCACACAGTGTTTGTTTCTAGCCTCATACTGACTCCAGGAACATGAAGAGAAGACAAGCGCATGTTCTAATTAACCTGTTAGAGTGCATATATTGTTTGAGGGAAAGGGGGCAGTACATATCCTAAGGGCAGCAACCAAACCTCCAGCTCCCCACCCAGTACCCCAATCAACAGTCACTGCTCAGTCTGACTGCTGGAGAAATCAGGAACAAACTTCTATTAAGAACTCTAGGTTGGGAAGGACAGCAAGAAAGTTTATAGCATTCTCAGCCTGCCCCCAAATCTTCCCTCCTGTTCTTTCCTACTTCTGATTTAGCTGACCTCCAATTGTTCCCATGCTCACCCACTATAGCTGGCAATTAGGTGCCCAATGGTGGTCTCTCTAGGCTCACAAAGTATGTGGGAGCTCTGTGTTAAAGTTAATCAACTGCCTAGTCATACCCAGTGAAGTAAAGGAAGGGAATAGAATGATTTCTCTTAGAAGAGCCACCAAACTGCCATTCAAAAAAGGACTCTTTTTCTTCCTTGTTGGAGAAGGTCAGAAGTCATTCCCTCCCACCCACCCCCACAGGAGGAATCCCATACACAGGTTAGAGTCTGCTGACCGAAAGGTTTCCCCTACTTAGGAACCACTGAGGGTTGCCACACTGCTCCATTTCTAACCTCAGTTACCACATATTCCTGTTGAGAAGGTGGCACTCACCAATAGGATACTTGTGCTTATCCGTGTCAATACCAGCATACACTACTCCTCCAAACAGATCATTTACAATTGCAGCCAGGGCCTCTGCGTTGAGCATCCCATGCAGTGCCCCAACAAAGACAGTTCTGCTGGGATCCAGCCTTTGTGATGGGCTCCGGACAAAGTTGCTATCAGCCAAGACCCAGGGGATAACCTGCACCTGAAACCATCCAGAAATCAGCTCATGAGCAAGACAAGGGGTCACAGAGAGATTGTTCAGGGGGAGGGGGGGTTTCCTCAGAGAACTAGAAATATATTCAACTGAATGAAGCTTTTATCTTTTAGAGTTGATTTCCTTACAAGGTTTACCAGCTGGTCATTATGTGGACCAGTATCCCCAGCTAAGAAGATAAGGCCTTCTCATGCTGCCCAGGAGACAGAATTGTTGATTACTTCCCATCTGTCCTGTTTGTAGCTCGTTTGTATAGTTGTTTGTGTGCTATCTTCTCTGTTATACTGTAGGTTCCTTAAGAGCTCAGAGGATGGCCTGCACCTTTCTTTGTATCCCCAACAACACGGAGCCACCAGACACTTTAATAAATGTTTGATCGACTGAGTGTCATATGATGCGACAAGTATAAGAAAAACTGGTGAATCTTGGGCATCAAGCCACAAAGCAACAAAGACTTAAGCAATATGAGGATGACATTGAAGGCTTTCAAACATGATTCACAAATGCCTTTATCAGATTACCTTCCCATGACTTGGCAGACAGGTTTCCTGAACAAACCTAGGCTGCAGTTCATTAAGCCAATAGGTAGCTATGGGAAAAGGGAACCGTCTTTGGTGACCTTCCTCCCCGTTTCCCAGGTCATCCATCATCTTTCAATCCACAACCTGAACATGGCCAAATGACATCTCATGTTACACCTCTGCCCATTACACAGTATTTCCACAAAGCCTCACTGGGAGGCTAGCTCAGGAACCATGCCATACCATGGTCCTGGAGAACTGAATGTGAGTAAATTCACCTTTGTGAACTGAGATTTAGATAGAAGTTTTATTTAGCCTTTCTAAAGCCTGAAGGATAATAGTATGGCCCCAAGTACACAAGAAGCATTTAATTTTTTAAAATATAGGCCATGTGCCAGGCATTATGTTCAGTGGAGAATATGTGAACACCTGAAGAGTAATCCAGGAAGGTCTCCGATTTCTTCAGTGAGGTTAACTCCCAGGGTGAGGATTCCTTCCGTTAATGCAGATAGCAACTCATCTCTGATAATCTAAGTTCCAGAGGCACATAACAGTTTGAGAGATGAACATTACTGTAGATTGAATCTAGCACTATCTATTACGTCATGCTGCCTCCTATAAATAATGCTAGGGATACAAAGATAAAAACAAAATGATCTCTGCCTTTAAGAAGCATCTAGTCAGGGGCAGCTAGGTGGGCACAGTGGATAGAGCACCGGCCCTGGATTCAGGAAGACCTGAGTTCAAATCCAGCCTCAGACACATTAACACTTACTAGCTGTGTGACCCTAGGCAAATCACTTAACCCCATTGCCCAACCAAAAAAACAAAAACAAAAACCAAGTAGTATCTAGTCAACTAAGATGACATGTAAATTTCATCTTACTGCAAATTTAGTACTATGTATAAAATGTTACTGAGTCCAAGCCCTCACAGCAAGATTTAGTCTAACAAGGAATAAAATAGTATTTGTTGGCAATGATAGTATGATATGATGACAAGATAAAATAGTGAATTGTGAGGCAGGGTATTTTTCTCAATAGGTTGACATACACCTTGGGAAGGTAATAATCAGTCTGAAAGTTACAGGCAATAGTTTCAAGGTGGTCAAACCAGGTCTCAAAAAACTGATAGGATCCAAATATGTGGAGACAGGAGTAGCACGTAAAGTTTAATACTGAGGACTAATAAAAAACACTTAAAGATGAATGGGATGGGACAGGGTATAAGAAAGACAGAGAGAATGCTTGGAAATAAGAAACCAAGATTAGTTTGGCAACTACACACACACAATGAAAAGCTGGGGAAAGAAACCCATGGCTGGGAAACAAGCCAGGAGGAAAACACAGTTGTTTCTATTTGGGATGATGTCAAATTAAGGTGTCAGAATAAGACTAGCATTGAAGGAGCAGATACAAGATACTGGGAAGGAGGAATCAAGATTTTGGTGACCGAGTCAAGTGGGTGAAGGAAGAGCCCTAAATGGCTAAGACATGTTAAGCCTTGAAGAGGGTAATGATAAAAATGGCAAAGTACGAAAACTCAGCTATGGCTTTGTTAGGAGAGGAAGGAGAGTTATATGGGTGAATAGCTAAGGATGAATTTATAGTTTTGTACAAAGTGAGTTTGAGACCAGTAGCACAAAATGATGGTGTTCTAAAAAGTAACTAAAATATGTTTTCAACTGATGTCAGAACTGAAGATGCCATCACAAACACAGGAGATTAAAATTATGAAAAATTTCAGAATCAAGGAGTGCACCAAGGGAAAAGGAAAAAGAGCCAGTGAAGGTAACTAAGAAGGAATGGTCAGAAGAGAACCATGAGAGTACAGCACACAAGTCAAGGGAAGACTAAGTTTCAGAAAGTGAATGGGTCACTGCCAAAATGCTACAGAGAAGTCAAAGATGAAGCAAGAGAAAAGGCTATTGGATCAAATACTTAGTCACTACTCACCTTTGAGAGCACAGTTTCAGTACATCAAAGTTAAGTCAGATACTATGTTAAAGATGGAATTTGTTATAAGAAAAAGCAAGTCCCAGAATTAATAAGGGAGGGGTGGGGGACTCCAACCATGAAGGCCATATAGATCCAAGGGGAAAGTATCTGATAAAAGGAAACAATGAAGAGGGCAGTATGGAACAAGCAGTGGCTCTTCTATATCATGGACCCTCTGTGAAGATTAAGAAAGCTAAACATTCAACCACTGCTACCTAGAGAATGAAGAGGAATCCTCACCAATAGTCAGGCATTGAAAACTGACTCAACAACAAGATAAGGGCCAGATCGCTACTAAGGAAAAGCAGTTAGAAAGAGGTCAATAATAAAGTATCATAGGATAATATATTTTGAGTTAAAAGGTATCCTAGAAGTCATCTCATCCAACCCCTTCATTTTATAGGTTAGGAAAATGAGGTTCAAAGAGGCAGGGCCTAAGTCAAAGCCAAGATGAGATTCAAGCCTAAAATCAACACTCTTTCCATTTCACAACTGCCTTCCGTAATAGAAAGAGTTCAAAGGATATATCAGAAAACCAAAGTAGGGAGGACTAAGTATGAACTTCTTAAGTATGAATTTGTGAAGAGACACTGAATTAACTGTTTCATTTGAAGGATAAAAAGTCTAGGCCAGAAATGCTAACTAATGAATAGCATGGATAAAAGCAGCACTGAGTTCAGTGAAATAAAGTAAACAAAACAGCAGAATCCCTATTCATGGTTATCTCAGAATATTAGAACTAAAGTGGACTGTAATGGTCACACTTCAACTTCATCATTTTATAAGAAGATGGTCACTGATGCCAAGTGCCTTTGTCCTAGTTGCCAGATCATGGCTAAGTGGAGGAGCTAGTACTCAAATGCAAAATCTTTCTGAAGCGAGGTCCAATATTCTTTAAGCTACACTTCAGGAAAATTAAACAAATGCACAAGACTTCAGAATTTTCACATTCAGTAACCCAAAAGGTCCCCTCCCAACACCGAGGTTAAGTTCTTTGAAGATTTTTTTTTGTCTAACAGGGAATAAGGTTCCACTCACCCACAGCAAGCTCCTTAACAAACCGAATCAGTCTCATTTAGATAGTGGCTTTATATGCAGGAAGAACTTTCAGCTCTAGAAGTCAGAAGAGAATTAAGCTAGAAAGGATCAACTAACCTCCTTACAACGCATCCTGCGGCTGGACATCTTGAAGTAATACTCGCTCAGACCATCTGGACTTAGCGGATCTTGGGAACAAGCTTGGAGCAGGGCCCGAACAGATTTCTCCAGCTCAAACACCAGGTACACATACCCTGTTTAATGAAGGGAGGGGGGGCAAGGAGGAGACCAAGTTAGCACATCCTTATATGACTGTATCCTTGACCATGTGACCTGAAACACAGCAGGCTCAATTTTTTTTGCATAGGCTCACTTGGAAGGAAATTATTAGACACAGCTACTGCTACGTCTAAAATACATTTTCTTGAATATAAGCTATTTCTATGCCAAATGACCACAATGCTTGGGTCAGGGAAAGGATATAGTAATTGTACCACCAATATATTTACAAATGAAAGAACTGGCAACTTAGCAAAGTGACCATTAGAAAATCAGGTGCTATAACTGGTCAGAAAAGATGGACATGTCTAAATCAAAGCAGTCAAAGCCAGCAATACGGGGGTAAGATTAAGATAGATTTAACTGGGTTCCAAAGATACTCATTAAAATCGTAATAAAGTCACTAAAATTCTCCTTCATTTGCTTTCTTTAGTGAAGGTGAATAAGGTGGAACTGACACCTGATTTCTACAGGGTTAGGACTTCAGACAATTCCAGAATAGAACCCCAGGGCTCCTTAATCCTGACAACTCCAGTGGGAGTTCAGAATCAGGCCAGCCTCTGAAGACAGCTAACTCGAAATGGAGTAAAATGGCCAAAGAAGTACATCTGTGAAAGCTCATTTCAAAGTAGGAAAAGCTCCAATGGGCTGAGTTTCACTTTAAGTTCACACATAAGTGATCATTACAATTGCTGTGTTTTAAAGTTAGCATATGGTATAGCGATTCACAGTCCAAATGAAAACGGAGAGAGTAAAGCATGTGCTGGATCTAGAGGAGGTGACAGATAGATAGTCTGCACCCTGGAGTGCTCTCACCAAGTTACCAGCATGCAGCTGTGACATCCCAGCATCCCTCAGTGTGGTCACATATCAGGGAGGAAAAAAAAAGTGTTCCTACCATGTCTTTATTACCTTTAGGCATATTACCTTTGGGAGGGCAGCGGGGGTGTTTGCCATCCTTACCAGGCCATTCCACACTCAAAGAGCCAAATACACGGAAGGTGTTAATCAATCCAGCTGCAGAGAAAGAGGAAAGAACTGTATGGAGGCAGAGAGAAGCAAATGCTTCAGAGATAGAAATGTTCTCTTCCTGAGCCCAAGAGATTGGCTACCTCTATCCCACAAAGAATCATCTTAGAAACTACACCCCAAACTGGACAGTTGGACCCTTGTGGGACTGTTCCTATTCCTGATCTGACTAGCACACAGCTGGGAATTTAACCTTCCCTTTATTTTCAAGACCCATACAGCACAAATGTTGACACTACTTATCCCATAATCAAATATCCCAAACAAGGGGCAAACTGTTGGGGCTAACTCACCTTCCGTGATATCCCAAGGAACTCCTCCTAGAAACACCTTACAGGAATAGATAGGGTTCTTGTAGTTTCGAGGAGGAAGCTGACCACTCCAGGTGCAAGTGGCTTCATTCACAGCTTCAAAAGATGAAAAGTGAGATGTCACAGAGTCAAATAACTTGGGATTCTGCAATAGTGCTTTCTAAGTAAATGGCCACAAACATAGTCTGCTCTGGAAGACTTCAGAGGATTTTTTAACTAGTAAGGATTTATTTATTCTACCTAATTTATAAGGCATTAGATTTGACAGGTGTTTTTGATAAAGAGGGATACAAATTAACAACAAAAATAAAATTGAAGGAAGAGAAATGTGGGACAAAAATTCTCTTCAATCACCTTTAAACAGCTGATATGCTCATATGTAATATGTCACTGTAATGTTCCTTTGTTTATAATACCATTAGCTAAAAAAATTGGAAATTGAGGGGATGCCCATCAATTGGAGAATGTTTGAACAAGCTGTGGCATATGATTATAACGGAATATTATTGTGTTATAAGAAATAACAAGCAGAATGACTTCAGAAAAAACTGAAAAGACTTACACAAACTTATACAAAGTGAAGTGAGCAGAACCAGAACACTGTGCACAGTTAATAGCAATACATGGTACAATGATCAACTGTGAATGACTTAGCTATTCTTAGCAATACACAAAATAATCCCAAAGGACTCCTGATAAAAAATGCTATTCACCTCTATCTGAACACCTACTGAAACATACTATTTTTCACTTTCTTTTCTGAGTTTTCTTGTACAAAATAACTAATATGGAAACATTTTACATGATTGCACATGTATAACCTGTATCAGATTGCTTACTGTCTCAGGGAGAGGATGCAAGAGAGGGGAACAGGGAAGGATAAAATTTGGAACTCAAAACTAAAAAATACTGAAAATGTTTATATGTAACAGGAAAATTGAAATAATATTTTTAAATTAAATTAAAAAACAAATTAATACCATTAGCTAGTCTGAGTTTATTCTTACTGAAAAAAGCCTCACTGGCTTGAAAAAGACAGGTAAACCTACCCCACACCCTCAATCTATCTTACAGAAAAACCTAAAGAGGAGACAAAGAAGGCAGGTCTTCATAATGCTCTTAGGTCAATTTGAGTAGCAAAAGACAGCACTGAACTAAGAAAAACTGCAACATGAATCAAGATTTTTTTTTTTAACTCGAAGAAAATATATTATACATAATGTGTAATTCCCCCCCCCCATCTACCTGTATTTTCCCCCTTTCGATCTTACTTTAGGAAGGCAGCTTGGACTCAAACCCATACAATAATAAAGTAACTTTATAGCATTTCTTTAACTTATTTCTTTCATCCACATTGGCCCTTTTCCAATTAGCCAGAATTTGTGAGTTTTTAATGTTCCTTCCTGCCCCTGGACTAAAGTTACCAATCTAATGCACAATTATGAAGATACTACCAACAAAAGATATATCGAACAACTTAATCAACCTACAAATTACTCAACTAGTTCAAACCTATAAACTACCTAACCTAGCAACCTAATATCATACCAAGAGATATTCACTCTTCCTTGAGGTCAATGTCAAAGTGAAACAAATAGGCCCAACTTTCTCCAAGTCATAACCAGAGAGGTTATTAAACTCCAACAGAAGTTAAGTTCAATCTTTATCAGTCGAAACAGCTAATGCATTTTAAAATCTCTTAACCTATATTTTTTTCTGCCAAAAGCCTCAACTCCCACCCCACCCCCACACAATCACCTAGTTGTAAAATGTTGAGGGGTAGTGCCCAAATATTAAGGACACAACTTCTTCATTCCCATATTGATTGTACAGACATTAGTCATATCCTCTTTTAGTCGCTACTCCTGGTGTTAATTTTTAGCTTTCCTTCTTTGGAAATTTTCTATCATAGTTATGTCTCTTGTAGGACCACATTTACCTTTTGCAGAATAATATGCACCATCTAAAACTAGTTTAAATACTCTTCTGCAAAGACCATGGACCAAGTGTGCTTCAACAGCCATGAAAGCTGACATACAAGAAACATTTTAGAAACCAAACAGAAGACAACATTTTGCCTGTGTTAAAAAGCAAAAATTGGTGTGGTAGATAGACAAAAAGTCCAGAGAAAGGTTGCTAAAATGATCAAAGAAATGTGGCAGCTCCTATTTTAGAACAGATTTCCAAAGATGAAAATTCTTCAAGTCAGAAAGATGGAAGGACAGGAGACCACACCTAAGAAGCAGCAGCACAGGGCAGTGGGAAGGGTCCTAGATCAGGAGTCTAGAGCTGGGGGAAAGGGAGGGGAAGGCGGTGTGGGTGACTGAGTTCAATGCCTCTCTCTTCCTGGGGAAACTGTCTTATTTCTTTGAGTCTCAGTTTCTTGAACTATAAAATGAAGAAAGTGGATAAGATGGCTAAAGTCTCTTCCAGCTCTAAGTCTTTCACAATACAAGATAATGAATGGAATTAGTACATATGAACTTGCTAAAGCCTGGATTACAAGAATTAAAATATATCATAGGATCACATATTTAGAGCAAGAAGGAACCTTAACTGAGTCCCAGAAAGGTCAAGTAAGTCACCCAAGGTGACATAGGCACCAAGGGGCAGGGTTGGGATGTAAATTCAGACAGGATCTGTAAAGTCAGGTCAACTCCAAAATTACCTCTTTCAGAGGCATCACAGTGCCTCGAGCCTGAGAAGCAAATTGAGGGAAAATACAAGTAAGCATGACTTTATACAGCATATTTAGCTTAGAAACTCATCCCCCAGACATGACACAAGCCAAAAGTGCTAAAGAATGATTTCGATAAATAGATGGCAGAAGACTAAAATGGAGTACTGGGAAACAAAAGGACTGTGTCATCAAGTTTAACTCTAGGGCACTCATAGTACACTCCCTGGTATTTTCTCTCAGAGGCAGAAGCCTAGGCCATAGGGACCACTGGGCTGTATCTTTGAAGTCTAGAACTAGACTCCCCTAATTGTCTAATTCTGTTTTAAACATGGGGAATACCAAACCAAAAACAGTCCCTGCCCTCAATCAGCTTATATTCTATTCATTATGATTTGGTCTAAAGGGAGTAGAATGTTTTTTGTTTTGTTTCTAATAATCTCCTTGATGCATAGGGATGTTAGCTTTGATAGCTATAGCAGCACAATGGGCAAATGTCTTCCAGAAATAGTATCTCTTAGTTTACCATAACCAACTTCAAACTCCTTCATCCACATGTATAGTCTTCAGACACATACTAATAGGATGTTAACACTAGAAAAGCCTCAGAAGTCTTTATCCCTGCCCTGTCTGAGACTATACAGAGTCTCACCTATTACTATTCTCCCCATACAACCCTGAGACATCATCCTGTAGTTTATCCACATCTGCTTGGTACTCTGCTACCCTGAAAAGGAAAATCATCCAGTAAACCTTGTAATTTCACTGTGTAATCCTTCTTCCACATGATTCATAAGCATATTCAAAAGGTCTATCTCCTGGAATTAGATAGCTTGTACTCTCTATATATAACGCTCCCCTGCTTACCAGCAGGGCTCAGCTATAGTCCCATTCAATTAAACCAAGCATTTATTATGCACTCTGCCAGACTTGGGGAGAAAGGAAAAGAAAATTAAACAGGCCCAGCCCTTACCTGCAGCTTGTCTATGGAGTCTGGCCTCCCTCTCAATACTAAAAGGATCCTCTGGAGCTTCTAACAAGTCCCAAGAAGGCCACACAGATGCTCCAGGCCATCTCTTTGATGCACTGGTAGGAGAGGGAGTTACTGCAGCTAGAGCAGCCTGGTCTTGGTCCAGCCAGGACCCAACTCCCATCTTTAAAGGGTCTCTGGGACCAGCCCCAAGGGGCAGGAAGGGCAGAGGAGGGGAGATGCGAAGGCTGGACTACAAAAGGGAAAAAAATGGATATGAAATACAGTTTTAGGGAGGCAAGGAAATTTTTTTTAAAGTATTTGGAAAGCTAATTCCCTAGTCCATACTGCCACTTGACCAAAGACTGGGTTTTGTTCTTGTTCAATCATTTCAGTCACAGCCAACTCTCTGTGACTCCATTTGGGGTTTTCTTGGCAAAGATACTGGAGTTGTTTACCATTTCCTTATCCAGCTTATTTTACAAAGGAGGAAACTGAGGCAATCAGGGTTAAGTGAATTGCCCAATATCAAGTGTCAGAGGGCAGATTTTGAAATCAGAAAGATGAGTCTTCCTGACTCTAGGTCTGGCATTATATCTACTATACCACCTAGCTGCCCTAAAAACTTGATTAAGCCCATATTAACCAATTCTCATTAGTATTTTCTTAAATAACAGGTAACAAACCATATAAGTAAGTCTGTCACCTTCAGCTTTAAGTAAAGAGCCATGACAAAGTTTAGGTAAACTCGAGTAACCTCTGTGAACAAAAGCCAAACTGGGTTTTCCATCTCAGCAGGACAAATCTGAGCCTCTACCTATAATCCAATGAAGGGTGACAATGAAAACTGTCTACACAAACCAAGTTGATTTTTAAAATAGCCAACCTCCAAAGTATTCAGATCGCATGCTCTGGAAGTTAAGTCCTTAAAGTAAGAAAATTAGCAGGCCATCTTAAGATTGGTAATTAGAAACCTGCCGTATTCCATCCCTGTGAGATCTGACCAAGCATTTCTCCAAGGAGGGTATCACGGACAGGACAAGCTCATAAGGTAAAGGCAAACCACAGGAAAAGACTCACTATTAACCACTCCTGTCCTTAGCCTCCACCCCCACTTCAAATTTTTCTACAACATTCTAGATGAATTACAGTACATTCTCTTGACAATTTTCTACTTTAAGAAGGATGAGGTATTTCTGGGCCATGGGTGGTAATCCCTTATTTGGACTCTTCAGTTTAACAGAATAGACCAAAACCATTTCTCCACTGCTCTCCTCTGTGCATATATCCCCTACACCTCCCTGATATATAAAGCCAAGTTCTCTAAGTTTTCCAAGATGAGGCATAGCTCCTGTACTAGAACATTCACTTAGAACACTTCAGGGGCCCCAACCATTTCCCCTGAAAGCAAATTACGTACAATTAAATCCGAGAGATGGTCTGATCCAGAGCTGAACCCACTTGTATCTGAGTCAGAGGGGCTGCTGGAACGAGAATCCAGGACAGGACGGGCATCCAGGCGAGATCCTCTCAGAGACGGTGTTGGAAACTTTTCCACCAAGTCAGAGTTAGTAGGGTCCAGGGGCAAGAAGCCCAGAGGAGGTTTTCCCAGTACATTTCCCAGTGGATTATTGAGCATGCTCAGTACTAGGAAGGAAATAAAAAGTAACCCAATTTAAGATCATAAAGTTTTTCTTCTGTCCTGGCTATCTCCTTCCTTCAAGAGATCCAGAATCAGGGTCATCATCAGTAAAAGACAAAACAGAATAGCTTTTGTCTAAATCTTTTGGGGATTTTTAAAGGCATCCGAAGCAAAAGTAAGATAAAACAAAAACAAATTAAAAAAACCACCTACCCAATGATCTTTCTGTTCAGTAAAGGCTTTATCAAGAAGCTAACAGCCTATTAGAAAAAAAAAATTCTACAACTAAAGCAAGAGTAGAAATTCTCTAATCACAGCAAATAGCCTAGCTGATTTACATTACAATTTCTACTGTGACTTGGGCTACTCTGATTTTAGTTAAAGGCAACTCTTATAGCTATGGAAACTGAAGTGGTTAAATGACTGGTCCATGCCATTTAGCAGCAAAGATGGAATTAAAATCCAGGGCCTCCAACTCTAAACTAAGTGTGTATCACTGCCCTCTCTGCTAAGAAGTACACCACAGGTTGAATTTACCAATTTCTCTTCCTCTTTTGCATTACTCTGTGATGCAAAAAAAGAATTATTTAGATCCTAAATCTACAATCTCTTTTCATCTCTACCAATCCAATAACAACTAACAGTTAACACAGTACTTTAAAGGTTTTCTAAGAGGCTTTCATATCTCATCTCACTGGACTGCTAATTGATGAACACAATAGTGATTACCAAACTTTTCGGAGACCAGTGAATTGAGCACCGGACTTAGTCAGGAAAACCCAAAATCAAATCCAGCCTCCACCCTGGGCCAATAACTTAACCTGTGTTTCAGTTTCCTCATCTATAAAACCCACATAATTCTAGTACTAGCTCCTAGGGTTGTTTTGAGGATCAAATGGGATATTTGTAAAAATGTTTTTCAAACCTTAGAGTGCTATGTAGATACTATTATTATTACTGTTCTATCAACCAACTGCAATTCTATATAGCTCAAAAAATATATCTGGCATATGTTAAGATTAGGATAAGTTAACACTTTGAAATTTTCAGAATTAACTAGACCAATCTTCAAAGTACTCTAAATTAGAGTTGAGAATCTCAGCTGCATAAAAGGTGGTCACATTTCAGAGCATTCTTCTATGCAAAGGTCAGAGCACCCACAGTTAGGCCCAAAGGACACTGTCATAGTATTCTTTAATCCAGAAATCCTATTAAGTTTGAGCTTTTCTATTGCTTTTGGTAAAAAACAAAAGCCATTTTTATTTGCTGCAACTAATAAGGAAAAAAGCATGCCCATAAAGCAGAAGGCCTTTTGCCTTCTCCCAAAGGTACATGGGCTCCAATTCCTGGCCACAAAGACTCATGTGAAATATTTCTGAAAGAACTGAGCTGCCCAAGTTTTTACTATATGAAAGCCAAGGTCATGCTACATTGTATTATTCATTTATTGATGAAGTATTCATGTGCTGGGGGGGGTAAAGTGGGCCTTACTTGACATTTATTTAAAAAACAAATGTGCTAAATCATGCTTTCAAAGAGCTTACAATCTAGTTGTTAAAATTTAACTAGAACTGATGAAAGCATTAGGGTCTAAAAGAAGTCAGTGTATACCAACAGGTTAGGGCAAATGCTTTTCATGCTTAGTGTTATGGAGGAGAAACAAAGGAGGGCTCAAAGTGGCAAGTAAGATTGCCAGGTCCAGAAGAAATCTCATCATCCCCACCAAGAACAAGGATTCATTTAAAGTACATACCCATTATGAGCATACCCACAACAGTGTGTTAAGGGCATGGGATAAGACGACTGGCCTAGCTGGGTTCCTCTAAGAATACTCAGAGGTTTGTTGAAGTCAGGTCATAAAGAACCCTGAATGACAGGAAGTTAGACTTGATAGAAGAAGAGATCAATTAGTAATTCTTAAGGGAAATGACTGGCCTGGTGACCAAAAGTGGCATAGATTAGAGCACAAAGACTAAAATGCCAGCTAGAAGGCTATCAGAACAACCTAGGCAGGAGGATAAGGGTTTTAACTAGTTTATCTATAGAAGAAACCTATCTGCCCAGGCAGGACAACTGTCAGCACCACTCACATTCACCTGTGTATATGTCCTATCTCCTCTACCAAACTTCTTGAAACAGGTCACACTTTACAGTATTTCCCACAAAGCAAGACTCAAAATTCTTTCCCCCAGTAGGGTCTCAGTAAATATTTATCAAATCACAAGAATTTTTAAGTTCTTTCCTACTTCAGAGACAAATGAAATACTGTGAAGGAAATCTGCGAACTATATTAGGATGTGGCCCTCTTGTAAAATGTTTATGAATGTGGATTGTGTGTTCTCATGTCTATCAGAGCTAAGAAGCCATGACTACCTTCCTTCAGTGACACTTAGAGAAATTCAAAGCTACCACTTCTAAGCAGATTTGATAAGGCTCCTGCGTATATGCTTATTACTCAACTGTCAAGAGTTGGCAAGTGGGACAGTGACACTAATAGCTGAGGGGACCCTCCAAACCAAGTCTTTGCATCCTGAAGTCTGCTGTGCTATACCACTACCTCCCAAACGGCAGTTCAAGAAATAATTGAGTATACATCGGAACCTATTGCTTGTGTCCCTTATAAGGAATTAGGATGACTTCTCATTGAACCACTTTGGAAAGAAGGGTGATGCTACACAGGCTGCTCAGGGTCACCATGAAGCTGCACTGCATTAGAACTGTATCCAAGCTCTTTTTTCAGAGGCTGCAAGGGGCCCACTGTGGTGCCAAGAAGAAACCAAATGGATAGAAAAGATGAACAGTTCCAGGCCTAGATCAGCTCGTAAGGTATTTCTCACCAGCTCTCAAGTCTCACACAATTTTGGCAAGCTATTAAATCCACAGTTTTATACTTCCTTTATAGTAAGCTCCAATGGATTTAGGATAAAAAGGTCTAGATTCACTCAGTTTTCCTTGCCCCAAAGGATGCTAGACTCAAGAAGTAGGCACCCTCTAAACCAGGGCTTCTTAAACTTTTTCCCATATAGGGTCTCAACCCAAAGTTTAAGAAGCACTACATTTCTAAGCCTTTGGTTGTATCTTAAGGATAGATGAAGAATGAATACCTGATGTTCCATTTGGCTCTAACCTCATACATTTGTTATGGACAGCCTCAGGTACCTAGCAAATCCAGCTATCTTTAGTTGCTCACACTCCACCTTTTCAAAGGTGAATGAACAAAGACAAACAAAACTGTACTCAGCTGACACTCATTCCCTACCATCTTTGTCATGACAGAGACCAAATCAACACTCAGTAACAAGCAGCTGCTTCACTGAACGTGAAGGATATGGCTACACTTGGATATAGATAAAATTCCCTCTTAAAGAAAACCAATTAGCACATTTGTGTCATTTAGATTAGATGCATTTTTAGGACACCTGTTTCTATCTGGAGCTTGTAAAGTAAGGAGGACTGCTGGGGTATGGCACAGTTTTAGATCTTAAAATATTCAGTCCACCAGGACTAAGTCTTTATTCTCATTGATAAATTCATTCTGCAGTCCCACAGGCCTAAAACACTCCACTCCCTGCAGCAGTCAACCCTTCCTGGAGAACACTAGTATATGCAGACATTGGTCTAATCTGAACTTTTACTGAGCTCTATTGAAAACCAAGATGAAGAGACTCTTGGCCAGGATGAAATAATCTACTCTGAGTTTCACGTAAGTGCCTTAGAGTAAAAAAAAATCCCAACAGCTATTCCATGCCTCTCATCACCACTCTCCCCTTGCAAAGACTAACAGATATTTCCCTTTTACTCACTATTGGCAATGGTATAATGGAGACAAGCACATTAACTCTTCATTATGTCAAACTGTAAGAAACCAGGTGCTACTAGAACTCAGTTAAGACCAAAAACCTTCCTGGAATCTCACCGTTTAGAGAAAATTCTTACTTTAATCCCAGACCACAAAAGCGGGCCTTTAAGAGTGCCTAAAAATGAATACTAAACAATTTAAAAAGAAAATAAGCAGCTACATCACATTGCTTGTGAAGAGCTGAAAACGTTTCTTGGTCAAATAAATAAAATACAAGGGAAAGAAACAATAGCCTCCTATAATCAAAAAAGTCAGCTTACAAATCTAGCCAGATTTCCTCAAAGTTATATGTCTGCTGGTGGGGCTAGGCGACATTCTAGATCAGTCCAAATGAGGAGGAACGGGGGAGGTAAGAGATTTCATTTGAGCCTCTGCTGAAAAAAAAAGAAAGGAAATTCCAAAACCATTCTGACTGTACCTTTTCCCCCTGTAACCAGGAACATATTGTTTCAAGTAAGAAACTCCAATTATCAAAGCTGATATTAATACTGACAATAAGTCAGAAACAGTCCCAAGAAAATGATATTAATATCTAAAAAACTAAAATTAATATCTAAAAAAGTAAGACCTCCCTCCTGGAAGAATTCACTATGTCCAATCCCAGCTCATTCTCCCCCCCCATCCCAAACTTAATCTTCCTAGAACCCTAACAGATAAGCTTGAAGTTCTATTTGATTTTTACCCCTCCTTACATCTAAAGTCCAGTTACCCAGTCCTATAGATTCCACCTCAGCCACAACTCTCAAATGCCTCACACCTCTTTCCACTTTCATTACTCCAGCACAGTGGCTCTCTATGTGGTCTGGGGACCTCTGGGAGTCCCCGAAACCCTTTAATGGTGTCTACAAGATTAAAATTATTTTCCTAATACAAAGTCATTTTAATTTCTAATAGACTAAGTATATCTACATATGTGCACATACAAATGTGTTTATATTAAAATACATAAATACACGTAACGTGCATATACAAACATTTGTATATAAAACACATAAATAAAAGCTCTTTGGGAAGTCCTCAATTTTTAAGAATGTGAAAGGGCTTTGAGACCCCCTTTAGGGAGTTTTTGAAAGGCTGCTCTAGTACACTCCCTAATTACCACTTGCCTGGACCTCCCTTATAGATCACCCCACCCACACTCTCCTC